TCAATGTCTTCAGCAGAGGTAATTTTCATGCTGATTTTTGTGTCATCTGCAAAGGACGACACGAAGCTGTGGCGTGTATTTTTGTCTATATCAGATATGAGAATAAGGAACAGTAGCGGTGCAAGGACTGTACCTTGAGGTACAGAGCTTTTAACATCGCTTGGACTCGATTTTATCTGATTGACTGTTACTCTTTGTGTTCTGTTCGACAGGAAATTGAGTATCCAGCGTCCTACTTTTCCAGTTATTCCCATTGACCTCATTTTGTGAGCTATCACCCCATGGTCACATTTGTCGAACGCCTTTGCAAAGTCTGTGTATACAACATCTGCATTTTGCTTTTCTTCTAGGGCTTCTGTGATTTTGTCATAGTGGTTGAGTAACTGTGACAGACAGGATCTTCTCGCTCTAAATCCATGTTGCCCTGGATTGTGCAATTCATTGTTTTCCATAAAACTAGAAATTTGATTCCTAATCACTCTTTCAAACACTTTTATTATGTGTGATGTTAGTGCAACTGGCCTATAATTTTTTGCCAAGGCTTTACTCCCCCCCTTGTGCAACGGAGCTATATCTGCAGATTTAAGTGCTGCTGGTATCTCCCCTGTATCCAGGCTCTTTCTCCATATTACGCTGAGTGCTCTCGCTACTGGTACTTTACATTTCTTTATGAATATTGAATTCCATGAGTCAGGCCCAGGAGCTGAGTGCATAGGCATATTATCAATTTCTCTTTCAAAGTCTTCCGAGTTTGTGGTAATATCCGTTATATTATCTGCAGCTTGAATGTCATTCATAAAGAAGCTGTCTGGGTCATCAACTTTCATGTTGTTTATTGGTGTGCTAAACAGCCTCATACTGGCTTCTTAGAATTTCACTAATCTCTTTGTTGTCCTCTGTGTACGTACCTTCATTTGTAATTAACGGTCCAATACTGGTCGAGGTTTTGGATTTTGATTTTGCGTATGTGAAAAAATATTTCGGATTTTTCCTTATCTCTTGTATAGCTTTCTGTTCCAATTCCATTTCCTCAGACTCATATGATCGCTTCAACGTTTGTTCTATTTCCTCAATCTCCCTGCTTAGGCTTGTTTTCCTTGCTTGTGATAGTTGTGTCTGCCGAAGCATTTCCGTTATTTTTTTCCTTCTCCTGTACAGTCGTCTCCGTTCTCTTTCTAGAGTGGTCCTCTTTCTGCCCCTCCTCACAGGCACGTGCTTCAAGCAGACCTTGTAAGCTTCAGCTGTCAGTTGAGCTATTCCCTGTGTGGGAGTTTTGTCGCTTAAGACCGTCTCCCATTGAATGGTTGCAAGGTCTACATTTATTTTTTCCCAGTCAATCCTCTTATTGTTGAAATTGAATTGATTGAATATTCCTTCTCGCTTGTTTGGTCTCTTAGACCTACTACCGTTATTTATGCTAGTTCGCACTTCAATGAGCTTATGGTCTGAGTATGAAGTATCTGAGATTGTGATATCCCTGATTAGTTCATCATTGTTTGTGAATAACAAGTCTAGTGTGTTTTCGTTCCTAGTTGGTTCTGTAATCTGTTGATTGAGCGAGAATTTGTCACAGAATCTCAAAAGTTCTCTAACCTGTGGTTGGTTATTTCCCGGGTCATTCCCTGCTATGATATTTGTGTTTGCCGTTCTCCATCTTAGACTCGGTAAATTGAAATCTCCAAGAAAGATAATATCTGGAGCTGGGTTTGCTAGGTTGTCAAGTATGTTCTCTATTTTGTGCATCTGCTCTGTGAATTCCTCAATCGTTGTATCTGGCGGTTTATATATTAGAATAATAATTAAGTTTAGTTTCTCTACCTTCATTCCAAGTACCTCTACCACCTCATTAGTTGAATTTAGTAGTTCTGTGCATACCAGGTCTTCTTTAATATACAGACCTACTCCTCCATTTGACCTAGTTTTTCTATCACATCTATATAGATTATAATTTGGAATCCAATTATAATTTGGAATCCGACGACAGTTTTGTTGTTTCAGAAGACGAGTTTTCCACATGACGAGCTCGGTGCCGGAACGGATTAAACTTGTTAATCGAGGCACCACTGTACATTAAATTGGAATTATTAATAAACAATTTAATTCCCACAAAAAATCTTGATAATTATTAAGGACATTGCTTAATTATCTTATGAAACTTTTATTGCAGGCATACCACTAGGACCTGGTTGTGGCTCACTGCTTGTCTTACTAAGAATCTGTCTAAAGACACTTTTTTTCCCTATATTTTAACACTTGGCTGTAGTGAGACCTCACACTGTCATTAAAAAGGTCAATTCAACAGTCTGCTACAGCTTTATCTGGGCGAGTTTTTTAAATAAAACTTTGCAGTTCTTCCCATACTTCACACATTTTCTTAATGAGGAAGGGACATCCTCTACTGCCACTACTCACAACTACTTTCTTGGGTTGAATCTTACCACTGACTTTCTTGGGACCCATGGCATGATATATAATAATTATTTTATGTTCAAAAACCCAAAAAGCAGAAAAACAATGAAATTCTTTACAAAGAATTCAAGAGCGTTCGTCACTTAGCAGGCGGCACTGGTAAACTGAAGCACGGTTGTACCCCATACGTGTATCAACAAAGTCGCAAAGCGAGGCAAGAGACGTAACCCGATTCAAATTTTCCAAAGAAACTGAGGTATAAGAGGATTTTTTATTGTCCTTTTTAGCCGAAAAATCCCTTGATCCCTTGTGTGTTGGGACTATATCACCAGATTAAAGTGCCTTCGGTACCTCACCAGTTTCTAATTTTTATTTCCAAATTACACAGTACTCATGCTACTGAAACTCTACTTTCTATATAACTGTGGAATTCCAAGAGTCGGAACCTGTATAACTGGGAATGTTGCTGCCATCCACCAAGAGTCCCCAGTAAAGGTAAAGTGAAATTAAATGTTACTTATTTTATTTATGGTTTATATTTATACCTGATTGTTTTGTGTATGAATAATATGAGTAATATTCTGTATAAAATGTATTTTTAAGTTAATATTTTTGTGGGTGTGGAATGGATTAATTCAATTTTACATTATTTCTTAGGGGAAAATTCGTTTCGGTTGACAAATTTTTGGATGACGATGTGTGTGTCTGGGAACGGATTATGATCGTGAACAAAGGTACCACTGTATTTGTTTACTTATCTGTTATAATGTCTCAATCGTGAACATCATTCACAAAGAAGCTATCAAAATCTTCAACATTTTTGTTTTCTAACAATCCTAAACATAGCTTTGAACTGTTCTTTCAAGATTTCAATAATGTCCTTGTCATCCTTCAAATACGAACCTTCCCTTATGCGTGTAGATCCAATACTGGCCGAAGTTACTGATTTTAATATTACTTATATAAACATTTTGGATTTTTCCTATCACATGTATGGCTTTCTGTTCCATTTGCTTTTTTTTCTCTGGTATGAAAGCTTTAGCTTCTGCTTTATTTCTTCTATTTCCATGTTTAGATAATTATTCTTTGCTGATAAATGAATGCATACTTGAACATTTCAGTTATTTGTTTCCTTCTTCTGAAGTGCCTTCCGATTTCTTTCTGCTGTTCCGATGTTCTTGGCGGCCTTTATCGGTCCTGATGTTTATGGCCATAGCCACCTGTGTCCCTGTGCATGGTTGGGGCAGGGTTTTGTCGCCAATTTTGACAGTTTTAATTTCTGGGCCACTCCAGGATGGTGCTAGATTTTTTGCAGGCTGCCTTTCATTTGCTCTAACTTCCTGATGGGACCATGTTTTATGCCCATTCCCTTCCCACTTTTCATGGGGGGATGGGGAGGGGGGTAGAAATCCCAGTAATTCTCTGCCCTTTTGGTGAGCCTAATCTTGCTTTGATCAAAAGGGCTTCATTTTCCTGTGTTCAAGACCCCTTCCCATTTTGTGTCTTGTTATGGCATCTTGTCTCCTCACCTCTTGTGGGTGGTTCCTCTCTGATGTCTGTTACTCTCTTATCAACTTGACACAGATATTTTTTCTTTCTCTTTCGTCTCTGGGTATCACGCTGTTGATTTTGTCTTCAGCTTGGCTCCGAGTGTCTACTCTATCTTTTTTTTTAAGTTGGCTTTCACAGTGGAGATTAATTTAGTAGTTATCGAATTACCAAACATTTTTCAATGAAGTTTTAAGTATAATGATTTTCCTCTTTTAAGGGTAGTTCACCTCATTAGTGGTTTCATCTCTGACTGTTGTTCGCTCCCTGCCCTATAGAGATTGCAAATCAATGTAAAATAGAATAATACTTGCCTCAGGTAGGCAGAAATTGTTGCAAAAGTCTGGCATTATAAATGTGGCCCTAGCATGCCAGTGCTATTTTACAAGAGAAAGTACTGCAGGACCATCCATAAAGGGGCTTTTTCATTACACGTAAGACTGTTTTTACAGCAATAAACAACAAATATCAAGCACTGAGCTCCACATGCCCACAGACATCTAGTAAGTAATGGAAGACTCCAAGGCCCATAATCATCTATGCCCTAATCATAGAAGTAATTTACTTTCAGAAAAATGCTAGTCTATGTTTTCTTCGTTTACTCATCACGGGTCTCAGGTGAGCACCTGTACTTATCTACTATCTCCACTATGTTTAAGAAGATTTCTAAAGCATGACTGTGTAAATCACAAAAGTCACAAACTCACAGAAAGTACTCAAGTGTAAATAATACCATGTGTGTATATTTCAATCACCTAGGAATAACTCCTTTAATGCTCCTAACCTTAAAGAACTCCATATTTTGTTATTACTATATACAGTACTATGTTATAATACAAGATGTCTTACCAGTATTAATGCTTAGTGACCACACAACCATATTACTCTCAAAAGCCTTCACCCTAGACAGTTTCACCTGTTATTCAGTCACATCGTATTTTTTATGTAATGATTAACCCAAATTTAAACACTATTAAAAAACTGTCACACTTGATTGTACAATCATTCATAATATTTATTAGAATCAACTAATTTATGCTTACCAGCTAAATTGTAAAGATGAAAAGAAAGACTTCCTGTTAATTGTTTTATCAAGGTGCACAGATTCCTATACATTCTTACTAAGTTATATGTGTTTCACTACTAACTTTCTAATAAAAATAAAAAAATAGATCAAACTCTGTGGAAAGAAACTCAAGGTGCTGTGGATGGTTAGTAATGTTATATGTGTGTGCAAACAGTTAATTAACAGTAAAGAAAAAATATATAGGATTCCCCCAAACTGATACTAGACAGATCTTTAAAATTTATCTTTCTATCTATCTATAAGCACTACTGTACTTCATTATGGTTAATGAGGGGGAAAATAAGGGCACCAGGTATCCCATGAAACAAATATGAACCCATTATCAGGACAGAGCTAGGACAATGAAGTGAAATTTCCTTGCAAATTCACATTATGTTGCTGAAACATTGGGTAACATGTATACATAAATAATAATGATCCCTTGAAGTTACCAACAATTTCTACTTATTAAACAAAAGTACATATTTTTTTTATCTAAATAGGATGCAATAATATATAATGGGGAAAATAGGTACAGAAAATTATTATATTATATATATATATATATATATATATATATATATATATATATATATATATATATATATATATATACATATATATACATATATTTTATATATATATATATATATATATATATACAGTGTATACTATACTGTATATATATTATATACTGTAGAAGTTCGCTAATCTGAAGCCAGCCAATCCGGAAACACCCTACTCCAGCAAAAATCATGTCTGGATAATGTTATATCCCTATCCGGACAGAATGTTCATAGAAGCCGAACTACTGGATATTTGTCCGGATCAGCATATAGGTCCGGACCTAAAAATCTCTCCAAAACCAAAGGTCGACTTGCCGCAGAATATAACGTGAACCTTTACCACTGAGAGATAAACAAGTGAAATGCCCAGCCTAACACTCATTGTACACCACCACCAGGAAAGGAGGGCGTCAGGCAGAGTTCAGGCAAACAGGGAGGCTGGAGTGGGTGTGAGGGTCAGGAGTGGGTATGAATGTCAGGAGTGGGTATGAATGTCAGGAGTGGGTATGAATGTCAGGGGTGGGTATGAATGTCAGGAGTGGGTATGAATGTCAGGAGTGGGTATGAATGTCAGGGGTGGGTGTCAGGGGTGGGTGTCAGGGGTGGGTGTCGTTATCTTGAGATGATTTCGGGGCTTTAGTGTCCCTGCGGCCCGGTCCTCGACCAGGCCTCCACCACCAGGAAGCAGCCCGTCACAGCTGACTAACACCCAGGTACCTATTTTACTGCTAGGTAACAGGGGCATAGGGTGAAAGAAACTCTGCCCATTGTTTCTCGCCGGCGCCCGGGATCGAACCTGGGACCACAGGATCACAAGTCCAGCGTGCTGTCTGCCCGGCTGACCTGACACCCACCACACCACACCCACTGGTGAAGTGGTAACCACACCCACCAGGGTGGGTGGGGTGTGGGGGAGGGTGGTAGGTGTGGGGAGGAATGAACTGTGTACCAGAGGTGACTGGCATTAAGCATAGGAGGGTGGTGATCAGGGAGGAGGAAGGGTTTTCTTTCTTTTTCTCTCACCAACCCTCTCTAGGAGGGGTCAGAGGTGGTGTAGTTGTTTAATAATCATATTTTTTTTCTGTGGAGAGCTAGTTACGAATATTAAAAACCACACCATAATATTTGAAAAGTAATTGGTTGGCTATTTATTCATTTAAATATTTACAAGGAAATAAAATGGGGCTTAACACAAGGTGCATATTATGGTGTCATCGTACAGCAAATGAGTGAGTATTATGTTGTCATCACTTATGACATGGTCTAGGAGGTTGATGGGTGGAGGGAGGTATGGGTAGGGAGAGTCACCCACCACCTGCCTGTATGTGGCCACATGCCTGACCGCTCGCCCACGCATCCAAATCTGCCTGCCCACCCACCTGCCTGCCATCCACCCTGCCCACCCACCCACCCACCTGCCTGACCACCTGCCTGTCCATACCTAACACAAGACAAAGTTAGAGAAGATTCAGCGGTATGCCACCAGACACATCCCGGAACCGAGAGGTATGAGCTACGAGGAAAGGCTAAAGGAGCTGAACCTCACGTCCCTGGAAAACAGGAGAATAAGGGGAGACATGATAACCACCTACAAAATTCTCAGGGGAATTGACAGGGTGGACAAAGACAAACTCTTCAGCACGGGTGGGACACGAACAAGGGGACACAGGTGGAAACTTAGTACCCAGATGAGCCACAGAGATGTTAGAAAGAATTTTTTCAGTGTCAGAGTAGTTAATAAATGGGCAGTGATGTGGTGGAGGCTGACTCCAAACACAGTTTCAAATGTAGATATGATAAGAGCCCAGTAGGCTCAGGAATCTGTACACCAGTTGATTGACAGTTGAGAGGCGGGACCAAAGAGACAAAGCTCAACCCCCGCAAGCACATTTAGGTGAGTACTCACCTGCCAACCACCAAGCCCATCTGCCTGTCATCCAGCCCGCCCACTCATCCACATGTCTGCCCACCCACTTGCTCTGCCCACCTACCCGCCAACAGCTAACCACTCACCCAGCTCCTCACACTAATTATAATGTGTGGAAGTTCAAATTATGTTGGTTGTTGTATAAACATTTTTGGAAATGTTCACTTTTGAACTTCTGCGGTGAAATGTCCTTTGATCCATCCAGAAGACCGGCTCATCCAGCCCAGGGTCCTTCCCATATAGTTCAGACTAGCGAGCTAATACAATGTGTATTTTATTTATATATATATATATATATATATATATATATATATATATATATATATATATATATATATATATATATATATATATATATATATATATATATATTACTATTAAGTTAGAGAAAAATAATGAACAATTGTCTAGCAAATTATATTTAATAATACACTAGCCAATGCTCTATAGGTTCTCAGAGATTATCATGTTCATTATGTATTAAACTTGACTGCAATGGATCAGCAAGAATTATTTTTGATCTTAAAATGTAAGTGCTTATCCTTGCTACACAAATGTGATCCTTTTTTTTTTAAATTTAAAGATTTACTGAAGTCATCTTTTGATCATTTACTGAAACTTAAATATTACTGACTAGTAATAAACCTAGAATTGTAAGCAACAATTGTGAACATTTTCTAAAAGATTATTCAACTTTAAAAAGATTACAAAAAGTTGTTACTCCTACCTTAATTAACCCAGGCATGATTTCTGGCATAGCTGCAGCCACGATAGATGGTTGGTGAGCCTCAACCAGCTTATTGAGCATTTTAATGGCTGCTTGATTGACTGGGTATTCCCCCATTTGTATCAGAGGTTTCAAGACACGAATCACCACTTCAGGAGGGAGTATCTCTGCTACAGTACCGGCACAAACCTGGTGTATATATACTTATAAATAAATAAAGACTTAAATACTTATAAATAAACAAATAATTAAATACCCAAGGCAATTGCCCAAGTATTCTATACAATTATCTGAAAACTAGACACGATAAAAATATATTAACCCCTGCAGTGCACACCTGTTTTTGGCAAAAACTTCATAGTGCAACTGTTAACACTTTCGCGCTCTCGGCGCTCAAAAAAAAACAATACCCCAGATGCTTTCGGCACTTCGCGCGCCTACGCGGTAAGACCGAAAAAGTGTACACTCTTTTGACTGTCCTGACAATAATTGAAGGCGCACGTATTTAAATTTGGTATCACTGTGTTCGCAATGAAATTGTCTATAAGAGCATACCTATAAAATGCCGCCCAAGCATAAGGAGTATCAACACCAAATAAAAAAACTATGCAGATCACTCGCCGAGAGCGCCAAACAGCAACAAAATGTTTCCACTCTCTTAATGGTTGCGAAGCCTACAGTTGTCCTACATCGCTAATTTTGGTATCATTGGAATCGCAATAAAATTCTCTACACGGACATATGCATATGAATGTTTAATATAGGTAATTGCCCACCCGCAAGAGTGTGTGAAGTGGAGAGTAGTTAGCCGCGAGCGCACTGGCGAAAACACAGGGGGGGAAATCATGCTTGGAAAGTTTATACATTTATACGTTTCCTGACCCTACTTTTCTATGTACGTATTTCTTTTTATACCAATGTGTTCGCAATAAAATTTTCTATAAGATGAAATGTATAACAATTGTACAAAGCATGTGTAAGAGAAGCGCCAAATATAGAACCACGTCGCTCAGTATGCGTTCGCGGCAGAAACGAACGCATTGTTTTCGTTCGTTTGATGTTTGTCATGTTTATACTTGTTGAAACATTTTATAATTTGTATGACAGTGATCGCAGTAAAATTCCCTACACAGACATATACATAACACATACAAATATTTCCCACGTGTTGGATATATCAACGGCTAAAGGGAACCCACTGCCACATGCCCGCCACACCCAGAGCCACACCCGCCACACCCCCAAACATACTTCGTGTTTTTTTTTTTTACTCATAGAAGTTTATGTGATATAATATTAATTCTGGTACCAAACAATTCGCAAATAAATTCTCTACAAAACGTATATAATATAACTTAAATATAACCACTTCACGTAATTGTTCTGTTAGGCTTACCGAGTTATAGTAGTTATCCATATACAAATGATAACCCTTGTTGACTAGGAGCGCCATCAACCCCATCACGGTTTCCACTGTCGTTTTTCCAATTCCACAATACACATCAAATTTATATATCTAGCCTGATTTCCCTTTGGCCAACATATAAAATTTTACACCATATTTATCAGGCTTGTTGGGATTGTAGACTTTGAAAGAGAGGCGGCCGCGCCATCCCATTGTACCCTCATCGAGACTCAATTCTTTTTTGGGGATATATACAGATTCAAATTTTTCTGAAAATTTTCGGTGAGGGAGAACGGGAATTTCATGGAGAAAAATCTGAGAGTATCCCCATACATTTCGGTTAGAAAATGGAATTTATAGAAATATTTTTTCGATGGACTACAGGCGTAGTCTGTTATGCGGAATCGTAAGAAAAAACGGTGACGAGCTATGTCTAATCTAAAGCGCGAAAGTGTTAAGGACATATTTTTGTTGTTTTTATAAATGTTCAGGTAAAGTTAATGTCAAAATGTTTTGAAACTCCATCTTAATTTCAAAACAGAAAGAGTGATGAAAATATTAAAAAACATTAAAATATATCCTAATTAAACAAAAAGAAACTTTTAGAACAAGTTTTCTTGGTTGGTGCAGCACAGTGGATAAGGTAATCAAGGTAGGTGTCCCCATATATCACTCCAACCGTCCCCCAGTCTCTTCCTCATATTCCCCAAGCCTTCCAGTTCTTCCGCCCCCTCATCCCATCTCTTTACAACCAAGTCATCTGCCCCCTCCCCCCACCCCCATCCCTCCTAATCACCAAACCTGTATGTAGCAAAAGCAGCAGGGCCAGACCAACTATTGCATAGTTACTGCAAAAAGCTTCAGGGAACTTATGTTACCCATTAACTTCAACATTACAATGGAGACAGGAAAGCTACCAAAAATCTGGAAAATGGTAATTGCGGTTCCAATATCCAAGAAAGGGGACATACATGAAAGATTAAACTATAGACCAAGTGGTCTATAGTTTAGTTTGCGTGGAATGCATGTTACTGACAGTGCTGTCAGTAACATGCATTCCACGCAAATTGCTGGAAAGTAATTAGAAAACATATTGAAGAACATGTGGGGAGAATAAATTTGTAAGAGGCACAACATGGCTTCAGAGAGGGAAACTCATGGTGAACAAACTTTACTTTATTCTATGACCAGGTCACCAAAACCAGACAAGTGAAGGAAGGATGGGTAGACTGCATCTTCCTAAACTGCCAGAAAGCTTTTGATAAAATTCCTCACAAAAGATGCAAGATGGAGAGAGAAACAGTGATGAGAGAAAAGGCACTGGACCAAGTACAGGAGTATCTAATGGATAGTAAATATAGTAATAGTCAGAGAGGATGTGTCAGACTGGAGAGGAGAGGCCAGATGGAGGAATCTCAGACATGTTAATGTTTGCAGATAATGCAACTTTAACCCTTAAAGTGCGCATCACGCCATATGACGTGCTGGACGTTGTTCCAGTCAACTGCGCATCACGTCATATGATGTGTTGGAGTACTACGCAAGATTTAAACAGCCCGCGGATACACGGGGTTCACCACACCTTCATCAGAGCTCTTGTAAACAGACGCCATTTAAAAAAAAAAACGTGGGCCAAACTACCGGGTGTTATTGGCCTCAGTATTGAGTGAGCAACCAAGCCTGACGCACGCAGCATGAGCTAACAGCACTGCTGTTCAGCTTGTGACCACAGCATCGCCTAAAAATGCCAAATTATACAGTACTTGTTCATGCTATTATGTAGCGATCATATTATTACAGAAGACCCCTGACTGTGATAAAACTGACCAGGGTTCTGATAATAGCAGGATTGTGGTGATATTTAGCGCTGTGTGCCATGGAAGGAGGAGTAATGCTGTGGGAGGGAGGGTGGTGGCGATGTCTTTTGACTGTGTGTGGCCACCTTTTATTGACTGCACTCAGCATACCAGCTTAGTGGTTCGCTATGGTGAACACAAATGTAGATACTTATATATAACGTGTGTATAGAGGGTATAAACAGCAAGAGAAGGTTTGGAGCCGCCATTTTGGTGAGGGTGGTGTTGTGCAAACAACACCGTGCAGACGACGGTGTTGTTTACTGGTTACCACGATGGTCTTTGGGCACCATACCAGTTTATTTGTACAAGTATGGTGAATAAAACAGGTAGATATTTATATATAATGTGTGTATATAGCGTAATAACACCACATAGTATTGTTGGAGGAGAAATATTAGTGAGTCTGGCCTTGAGGGCGGCCGCCGATCAGCTGACTGTGTGAGTAGCCACATCTTTGTGCCTTTACTCACTATACAAGCTTAGATGTACAGTTATGGTGAACAAAACATGTAGATACTTATATATAACGTCTGTATATAGTGAATTATAGCAAAAACATTATTGTGGGAGGAGAATGTGGGTGAGTCAGATGACTGGAGGGAGGGCGGGAGTGGCTGGCTGGTAAACGGCGGTCACTCATCGTTACTTTTTGACTCATAATAGCTACTTAGTGGTTCGTTATAGTGAACAAAACATGCAGATACTTATATATATCCTGTGCTTATAGTGTAATAACCGACAAAGTATTTGTTCACTGATTGATGAACACAATTGAATCAACAATATGCACACCATATTTTTGAGTACAGCAATGATTCACTCATTTTATTATATAAATATATCAAACTACACACTATTGAATAATATTACAGCAAAAAAAGTATGAAAAATCAATCAGAGACATTGAAATAATTCGGTAATTATCTCTTTGTGGCAACTCCGGCCTGACAGCTTGCGAGCAACAGACCGCCTGGGACGCACGCTGAGTCAGCGACTATAATTTGCCAGACTTCCCCACCCTATAGTGGGCAATATATGCCACTTACGATTTTTTTATTATTTTTCCCGTGATCAGTGAACACAAATTAACAGGTTAGAAAGAAAAAATTTTTTTTTTCAAAATGACATGCGCCTGTGGGGATGACAGGATATTAAACCCCGAGCATGTTAAGGGTTAATGAGGAGAGTAAGAACTGAAGAAGACAGCAGGAGCCAAACAAGAGGACCTGGCCAGATCCTGGGTATGCTACTGGGTGGTCCCCAGTAGGCAAGAACTACATGCACTTTGACTGATGCCAGAAAGCTAATAGATACATATCAGCCTGGATAGCTCCAGGGAGCTAACAGGGCTTCCCCCCAGAAAAAAGACATTTTAAAATTTTCAAGTCAATTAAAAAAAGATGTGCTCCAAGTCACCACCCAGGAATTGAAATGCAGAAAGAATAAATGACCAAATTAGCAACTATTCTCCTACTGGAAAAACACTAAATAAAAGTAATTAAACTATCTTAAAAATTAAATACAAACGTTGAATACTTACAGAAGCTGCCCGGAGCACTTCCTTTTCTTTATCAGCATGTGCATTAAGTACTCTAAGAATGATTAGCTCAGAAAAACTAAGGAAGTGATGAACTAATGGACTTCTCCGCATCATTTCAGTGAGTACTGCTAGCACCAGGGCTCGCTGACCACCATCATCGCACGTGAGACACTCTAACAACAGCCGCAAGACAGCACGAAAATTTTCATTCCATACAAGAGTAGACCCAGTGCGTGCCAATCTTATAAGGCTAGTCAGGGCACTACGTTTCTCAGCAGACCGACCTTCATCTGCATTGCCAAGCTCTGCTACAACCCCTGACATTATTTCAGCATCACTTTCTTGTCCATCCCCTGTATAAACATATAACAAATAAGTATCATTTAAAAAAAAAAATCTTTTTAAGCACATATGTACGTACATACCAGTATGAATGGATATATTTGTGTGTGTGCTGTTAATGCTATGTATGTATGTGCGTGTATTATAAACACACACATACACACAGCAGCACGCCAGCTGCTATATCAAGGAGCTCCCAGTAAATCCTGTTGCCTAAGTATTGTAAAACAGGTTGAGGACTGAGTGGTGTCCCAGGAATTATGAAGGTACAGGGGATTTGAAAAATAATCGAGATAAAACAAATATACAAATGTGAGTGAAAAATTTGGACAAGTAAAATTATTTCAAAACAAAAGCATTTGGTCAGCAACAAAGATGGCTGCTGCAATAAGGAAAGACAACAAAACAGATGAAAATTTTAAAAGTTTCACTGTGGAAGAAATAATGAAATGAGGTTTTCTTGACAGGTTAGTGATGAATGAGGATTTGCTAAAGACTTATGAAGGAATTTGTTTTAAATTAGAAAAAGAAAATAATGGTTTCAAGAATGAATTTAATAATTTAATAGGAGGTATACTGCAGCAGGATAAGGAAATTTCTAGCTTGACTGGCAAGGTAAAGAGACAGGAGGAGCAAATAAAAAACTAGTGAAAGAAAATGGAAAATGAAAGGTTGGTTGAATACGAAGAAATTAACAGGAAAATACACACATAGGAAGAACAATCCAGAGTGTCCCCCTAGATCTAAAACAGGGAGTTAAGCAAGAATATGCTAAGAGAAACTTCATTGACCTATCAATTAAGGATGTATATAAAGAATGGGAAAAGTGCAAAGTGGAAATATAAGTAGCAAGTGTGCATGTTGCAAAAGAGAAAGAAACTATCAAAGACGTATGTTTGGTCAAAAAGAGAAATGACCAACAAGAAACAGACATCAGACAAGAAATTAAGAAAGAACTTGTTACCAACAGTAAATTAGTACAAAATACTGCAGAGAGAAATAAGTCCATAATAATTGTTGGGTGTTCAGATCAGGAAATATCATATTGGACAGACAGAGCAGCAGAAGCGGAAAAACAACTGAAAAAAAATAGAAGCTTGAGAAGGCGGCCTCACAACAAAGGAAAACTTCAGTGATTTTAGGAGGATAGGAAATTCTGAAAAAGAAAAGAATCCCCTCTTAAGAGTGACATTTAACACTTTGAGGTTCCACAGACTGATTATCTCGTCACTCATTTTTCTACTGAATGTGTTCCAACGACGCAATACTGAGTCACTCATTAAAATATTTTTTAAAAATTTAAATTTTATCAGATCAATCTTGTAGTGGTTTTAAAATAAGCGCCTTTAGATTGCACACAATTTGATACCAAAATCAAAGATATAACATGAAACTTGATGTCCAAACACTTGAAATATTATAAATAGGCCTATGGTCCGAATATTAAAATAATTGTTAAAATTCTATTTATTGTCCTATTATCTTGGGACTAGTTTTAAAATGCGCGCCGTTTTATTGCGAACAATTTGATACCAAAATGAAAGATGTAACACAAATATTTATGTCAGAACACTGGAAAGATATAAATAAATTTGTGATGATGAGCGTCCAGAATTAAAATATTTGTTAAAAATCCAGTTATTGTTCTATTATTCTGGGACTAGTTTTAAAATACTCGCCTTTTTATTGCGAACAATTTGATACCAAAATGAGCGACCTAGCACGAAATTTGATGTTATCAAATTGAACAAGTTGAACATTAGGTTGCAATGTACAAAATGGTGCTCGTTCACGGGTAACTTTAGGCTTTTCTGCGGGGAGGCACTCCAGCCTTTTGTACATTTTATTCTTACACATCTGTAGGGAATTTAATTGCGAACACAATGATACCAAAACGAGCGACGTAGCACGAGAATTAAGGTAAAAAAATGGAACGAGAATGCACATGTTACTGATTTTGTGCGTTTTTGCCGACTTTACGCTTTGCTGTTGGGAGTCACGCTAGGCTTTTGGACATTATATTTATACACAGCTGTAGAGAATTTAATTGCGAACACAATGATACCAAAACGAGCGACGTAGCGCGAGAATTAAGGTGAGAAAACTGGAATGAGTATACACATTTGGGAGTCACCGCGCGCTTACCCGCACGGAGGGGCCACGATCCCCCAGTCAACCGCGAGTTTCTACGGAGCGCGAAAGTGTTAATAGACTGAAACAATGACAAGTGTTTAGGAATGCCAGGAAATTGCAGAGTGATGAGGATGGGAAACTATGATCATTAGGACGACACCTTTCAAAAGAAGACGAGGGACTAAAACTAAATCTTAAAGAAAGGTTTCTAAATGAGAGTAAGGACCAAGAAGAATTAAATTTTGTGTCTAAAAGATAATAGGGATTGAGATCCCTGTCAAATGGTACATAAAAGCAAACCATTAGAGGAAGGGGGAGTAAAAAACCAGCGTTGAATGTAATGAAACGTCATTTTCTGGGTGAGACCCCCAGAGGCTCCTCGGAGCTATCAAGGCTCATATGCTAATGTCAGACTTTGGTATCAGTCATTTGTATGGAGTTCTTTGGGCCTACCGGGAACCACAGCCAGAACCTGGCCCCCTCAGAGAGGCAAGGGGAGCAATGGCCTATAGAAGCCCCCGTGTGGTTGTAAGTATTCTATATCTGCCATCGACCGGGTCAGGCACCAGAAAGGTAAGCATCTCAAAACAAACCCCTATTCTGGTGAAAATATTGCTACCAAAAGCCGAACAAATGTATAGAACTCCCCAAACAAAAACGAGCAAACTAGTGTGATGTCACCCGATGCCGTGCCGCCATCTGCGCAGCTTCCCTCCCGGTAGCCCCAGACCTACAGTGCCGGCGATCCACACCCCAGTTTTGAGACTGGATGTCAGAACACGCGAAAAACTGCCGACCGGAGGAAGGGAGGGATGCCGGGAGCCTCCGTGTCTCACCCGGAAAATGGCGTTTCATTACATTTAACGCTGGTTTTCTGGGGGAAGTCCCTATGGCTCCCCAGAGCTAACTACCAGCAGAGGGAAAAAGAGGGACTTACCCAGAATGCAGTTTCTGCTCACTCCACAACCCGAAATCGAGATGACTGGCTGCATCCGCCGACCCAAAGTGACACAGGCCCGACAGGGCCCAGGGGCGTTAACAAGGTAACGAGCAGCCAGGACCCTGTTCGACCGGTAAAATCCCCACACCCGAATGTCAGCCCAAGATATATTGCCAAAGACGGCGGCAAGAACAGCGAACTTGCAAACGTCATGGGCACAGGGATAGACCGCAGGCTGACTAGCCTTAATAACCCTGAGAACGACCTGGGAGACCCACACCCGCAAACAGGGAAGGAAAGGGAAAGGGAAGGGAGGGAAACCGGATCAACCCAAAGCGCGTCCACGAACACAGAAGTCGTGGCTCGCAAATAATGGTGGAGAGCCGCAACCGGACACAAAATATGATGCACCCCCAACCTAACCAACCAAGCATCAACAACCCAGGGACCCCTCCGGAAAGCAGCAGTCTCATTCTTCGCCAGAAAAGAAGGAGAAGGCTGCAGACGAACAAACCGATCACCCCGAGTGAAAGAGCAGAAACCCCTGCAAACCAACCCGACCCCCAGAGGCCAACGCCAACAGAAAAAGAGCCTTGGAAACACAATCCTGAACTGTAGGGGCCACAACAAACCGAGAAGAAAGATAAAAAGAGCACTCTGTCCAATGACCTAGACAGCTCAGGCAGCACATGAGCAGGCCGGAAGTGAAACAACGCCCGAGACAACTTGTGAAATGGCGCAGATGTAACATCAATACCGAAAGCAAGCTGAAGCGGCTCCGCCAGCGCCGCACGATACAAGGCGACAGTGTTAGGCATAAGGAGACGGTCCTGGAACAACCAAGAGAGAAAGGACAACACCCTAACTGAAAACGAAGTAAAACGACAAAGACAAAAGAAGAACCGGAAAGACCGCTAGGAAACTTCATACTGCTGCCAAGACGAAGCCCGCAGGTGGGACACTAACAGGGAAGCCACCTGATCATCATAGAGATGATGATAAACTCGAGTCAAAAATACTATACACGAAGACTCGAGGAGAAGATCGAACCATCCATGTGACGTACTGATCCGATCTGCTGGAAGAGGCGGAGCCACGGAAAATCCTCCAGGTTCAGACACCAAGCAAGCAGCGCCTGAAGTCATAAAACAGTGCAACCGCATCCCGCAAGATCGGTACGAAAAGCTTCAGCAAGGAAGCCGACGAGCGAGCCGCCAAGGCCAAGGCGCCAGAACCAGGAACAGCCCCAAGCGCCCCCACATCCTCTGTGAGCCAGTCCGAAAACAGCTTGAGGAGGGAAAAGGAAACGCAAGGCCGAAGCCAAAAGGCCCCGGGCGCGCAAGTCCTCAGCCACCAGCGCCGCCGAAAGGGAGGGAATATGCACATGTAGCTGAACGACACCAACAAACAAGCACTCATTGAGGTGCTCTAGGTCGCCCCCCAGGAAAATCTGCAGCACCGTCAAAGCCTCCCGCCACTCAAGCATGCGGGAACAGCAGAAGGAGTGCCAGGCATCCACGGTAAAAACAGGACTGTCCGCCATCCAGGACGACTCCTGAACCTTGTAACGGTGCCAGAAAGGGAACGAAGTCCCAAACCTGAAAGCCGAGGAATCCATTGCCGAGGCATAATCCGGGTCACACAGGAGATTTGCCGCAAGGGCCGCCTGCACTGCAGCAGGTTGGATGTGATAAGCCGAAAACCTCCGGAAAGACGGAACCGAAGCACCTGGGGGAACATGGAACCGAACCAGGGGAGGGGCAGACACCAAGTCCAACTCGTTCGCAGAGGCTGGAAAAGAAAACCCCACTCCTTGTAACAGTAAGCCGAGGGCAGAAAAACCCAGGCGGGTTCCAGCGGGGCCCAAGGCCCCCAAGTCAGCCCCTCCCCAGCCCCAAGGTCCTCCTCCGCAGGACCCAGGGCCGAGTCCTCCCCCCA